CATTTTCGCCTTTATCTCCATTTTCGTCTTTATCTTCACTTTTGCCTTATTTTTTTGTCTTCATCGTTATCACTTGTTTCTTCATCTTCATATTTATCTTTATTTCAAAGTTTAATTTCAAATACGAAGTAAAACAAAATGCGAAACAGCTTAAATTGAACAGGTTGCAAAAACAACCATACACAAATATGGAAATTTTTAAACAACAATTTTCAACCAATATCGAAACTATAAAAACTCTCCTCATCTACAGAAAATTACCATTCCAACGGTGTTCTTGGTTTTGAAAACGGTAAATTTACCTTGGTCTTCATCTTTGTTTTTATCTTTCACATCTTTGCTTATTTATATCCTTTTCTGTTTCTATTCACGTAGATGAGATGATGTGCGATGACGTGATAAGATGTGACGTGATTTTATGTGAAGTGATAGGATGTCATGTCATGTGTTGTCATATCCTGTGATGTCATGTCATATGATGTCATACCATATGATGTCTTATCATGTCATGCCATGTCATGTAATGCCGTGTCATGTCATACGATGTCATATCGTGTGATGTCAAGTCATGTGATGTCATGCTATATAATGTGATGTCATATCATATGATGTAATGTCACGTGATATCGTGTGATGTGATAACATATTATGTGGTGTAATATAATGTGATGTCTCATCATATCATGTTATATAATGTGATGTCCTGTCATGTAATGTGATCGCACTCCATGTTCCGATTATTAAATCGGTAACCCTGTCGATAACTGTTTCAATAAAAATACCGATAACAATATCCATAAACATATAGAAAAATACAACGATTGCAAAATCGATTTATTCATCGATAGATAAAACAATCATCAGTATTGATTATTGTACATATCGATAACAAAATCAATTATTTAATCGATTAGTATACCGATAACATTATCCATTATTGTATCGATATTATATTGATTACAATAGCGGTTATTTAATCAATAACAATATCGATTATTTTATCGATAGAAATATCGATTATTATATCAATAAAAATATCGAGTTTTATATCGATAACAATATCGATCTTCATCCTCATCCTTGTCTTCATTATTTCTGCATATTCCTCTTCACCTTCACCTTAAAGTGGTTAAATTTACATTGATCTTCGTTTTTGCCTGCATCTCTAGGCATCTTTGTTTTTGTTTTTATTCTCAAACCGCTAGACCGCTGAGAACCATTTCCATGTGCATTATTCCCCTTGAGTTTGACAATTTACTCCCACCCAACCAACTGCCGCTACAGAAGTTTCACTTCATAAATTCAAGAAATTTTCTTACCCTTTCAGTTACCCTAATTCTTATGTATCTGTCATTGTCTCCATTTTCGTCTTTATCTTCACTTTGGCCTTATTTTTTTTTGACTTCCTCGTTATCATTTATTTCTTCATCTTCAACATTTTATTTCAAAGCTTAATTTCAAATGTGAAGTGAAACAACATGCGAAACATGTCAAATTGAACATGTTGCAGCAACATCTATACACAAATACGAAAATGTTTAAACGACGGTTTTGGCCGTAATTTTCAACCAATTTTGAAACCATAAAACATCTATGGAAAAATGCCTTTCCAACGGTGTTCTTGGTTTTGAAATCGGTTCGGTAGAATCGCCAAACGAACGGAGACAAAATTTATGTTAGCGTATTAATATATCGTCGTTTAAAGTGCAAACCGCGTATCAAAAAATTCAAAACCGCGTATCAGCAAAATTGCAAAACCGCGTATCTGAAGTTGTAAAAATATTTTCTAGAGCGCAAAAACACTCATATTTGAAAATGGTTCTCTTTTTTATAAAGCAATCGCATTTCTGGCTAGTATATTTCAAGACGAATGGATAAGGATTTAGCCAAGAGCTTATGTCAGCAAATCCAATTTTTGGCAGCCAATGTTAGTTACGCGGTTTTGCAGAATGACAATACGCGGTTTTGTACTTTAAACGACGATATAGAAGTTACGGACGTTAGGTCCGTATAAGTCAAAAAAATAATTTAGCTGGGCCAACGCGCCCAATAGTTCTAACTACGAGTTACAAATCTACAACACAAATTTTGGAATCTAACACAGTTTATTCTATTTACTTAATTACAATTAGAATTCTTAATCTAAACCGTAGCGTTACCCGTCCCGAACTCGACTGCCCGCTTTGTGTCCGCTGCTTCCCTTTATAGCCAATGTCCAGCAGCAGCGTACCTGTTGCATAATTGTTGTCTGTGAATAAGTTCGTCCGTTAGTTCCCACACTTGCATTATGGGTTGATGCTATTTCACAAGTATGCGAAATAGTATTATGCTGACGGTGCGTCTGGAGTAATGCAGTAGCATACGTATTAATCGCTGGTACTAGCCATGGCCTTGACTTTGGGTGTTAGGTTGCCGTGCGCCGTGAGAATGTAATTGTGCTGACTTAGCAGCACGTGTAGTGGGTAACAGTGGGAGCGCCGCAGCGAGTTAACTCTGGGGAGTGTTAACTTAGATATACATACATACCAGGGATGTTGCGAATGTGGAATTTTAGACATCCGCGGATGCGAATGCGGATGTCAAGTATTTTTAAGAAACGATTAGAATCTAGCTTAATGGCGAGGCCAAACCAGATGTGTCAGGTTTTCTAAAGTTTTTAAAAAGAATTCTTCATTCTCATTACTTTGGCTGTTTCGAATTTGAGGAATCTGTAACTTCATCAACGTTTTTCGATTTAATTTCTGTAACTAATTTTTAATACTTTCTTCTGTGGCGGGTTTGACAAATGTGTGCTTATAGCGAGCTAAATGGTGGATATGAAAAATAAATTATTACTTTCCAGGAATGAAAATTTTGAACAAAATTCTGATTTCAAGCTCGTGCCTGCCAGCCGAATCAGTTTCTCGATTCTCTTTATAGCTAGACGTTTATCATTTTTGATGGAAATCCCTATTGAAGAAGTTTACTCTTTGACTTTAAATAGTAAAGAAGGGACAGTTTTACCACAAAAGTTTTTAGCCAAGAATCCAGTGTATGGGCAATACTGGAAAAGAGGGCGTGGCACCTCCTATACTAACTAAAATTTTCATGTTGTATATCTCTTGAAATATTTGTGGTAGAGCATTGGAACTTGCTGTCGAGATAAATAAAATTAATTCCGTACTTATGGGAAAAAATTGGCGGTATTGGATAAGGGCGTGGCACCACCCATAGGCGTGAATTATTTAATCAGCTCTAACTTCGGAACCGTAAGCCACATGAACTTAAAATTTGGTATGCAGACATATCTATGGTAGGTGCTTATAGTAAGGTATACATATAAATAAGACTCTGAAAGGGGGCGGCAAATCCCAAAGGCGTGGAATATTTTACCAGATGTAACTTCGGAACAATAAGTCACATAAACATAACATTTGGTATGCAGACATATCTATGGTAAGAGCTTATAGTAAGGTATATATAAATGAGTTTGTAAAAGGAGGCGTAGCACTTAACATAGGCTTGGAATTTTTTATCAGCCATAACTTCGGAACCACAAGTCACATGACCCCTTTAATTCCTTCTGGCGTTGGGTGAAACCTGCGGGTAAAAGCTAGTACTTAATAAATTCCCCAAATGTAATATCAAAAGCAAATCACGACATTTGGTTAAGAATTATAATGCACACTTTCTTCATTTGTGTCTATTAGTTTTTTTAAGATTAGCCCAAAAAATCATAATAGAGACAGAAAGCAACGCAGGTGTTTAAAGCAAAGAAAAAAAAACATTGTTAAAAAGACTATATTCGCTTTGACGTACGTCAAAGGTCAAGTAGAAGTTGGAACTTATATGGCTGCCCATTGATAGCTCGGTTATATAGATTAAGAAATAATGGCCCGTAGTTATAGACAAGTTAGTGGCAGGTTTTAACATTTAAAACTGTATATTAAGATAAACACTCTTTTAACACTGTCATAGTCAACTTAAAAGGCCTTTTAACTTTACAACGACGTTTTAAATTTAAAATGAGGTTGACGAGGTTTTAAAATCTTAAAAGCGTACTCTAAGTAGACGTTTTCCTGTCAAAATTTGCGGAGAAAATTCAAAAGTGGTCTTAATTTGAAGAATATGTTTCCCAATCAAATGATATTTCGAGATTTTGGGATTTTGGATAATACAATCGCAACCAGAAATAGGAAAACATACAAGGAACGCCAAGATCCTTTTCAAATGAAAGAGGGGGACGGAAAGCAGGTCTTTTCAGCAGCAGTCCAATTAACTTCACGAATTCTTTTCACTTCCTATAAAAATTAAATTATTTACGTTAATAAATTATATTTTACAAAAATAAGTTATTTACTTAATGTTTGCTGCGCCATTTTTAAAATTATTTATAAAAGTCAGTTGGCGCAGGGTGAACTTGCTAAAATAACAAATTTTTCCTAATGCCGATTGGTTCCTTTTTTCATTTATATTTATATTTTCACATTATATTAATGTGTCAATTTAGCAAAAACCTGCCTCTAACATGTCTATAACTGACTAAAACTTAAAGCCTGCTCTAAACTTAAAGATTAATTTTAACTAGAAGAGGTTTTAACTTTCGACTATAACTACGGGCCAATATGTTTTAAGACATTTTTATCAAAGTTGATAAATATGACATTTCACCAGTTTTGTTACACAAATACTCCCACTAACACAGGCAAAAATATTGGCTACAATTTGTCATTTTGTTTGCCATATATACGTTTTATGGATGCACTTGCACAACATTCGCATTTGCAAAAGCTCCGCATTGATTATTGCGAATGCGAAAGCGAATGCGAATGTTAAAATTAATGCGGAAGCTCCGCGGTTGCAAATGCGAATGCGAATATTCGCAACAACCCTGATACATACCTTACCATACAAGTACATACTAGCTTAATAAGTCTGAAGTTTTGGTATATAATAAACCTCAGTACAATGCAAATCTGCATTAACCAAATTCTGAAATAGGGCGTTCTTA